TTTTGAGTATCGGAACCACGAAACTCATAACCTTTCCCACTGTGAACTGGCTGCAAGAAAGCTCAAAAAACAAGTTTCCTCTTGATTTTTATGTCTATTTTGATATTTTGTAGACTTGCCTTTTTCTTTTAGGCCACCAGAAATCACTGTGGAATGAGCATGCTTCACTTGACTTAACTTGGATTGTACACGGAGCCATTACATCATGAGAAAAGGCGGTAAGGACATGAGGGGTCCCAAAACTTCCTAAGGGGTTAAGAGATGTGGACAGACCAGGCTGGGGGTGGGGTAGAACGTGCCCTGACAGGCCTGTCAGGGAGCCGGAGAGAAAGCCTTCTGAGTGTGCGGTTTTGAAGGGTGTTCATCCCCTCAGGAAGAGTCTCAAGGCTCAAATTACTGCAGTATCAGACAAGACTCCTCACCCTGCCAAAACCACTTCCAGCGTGGAGAAAGGGAAGATATGAGAGGGGCTGGGGGGCTCTCAGAATCCCTGGGAGGAACCAGAAATCATCCTGCTACAGGGCAGCACTGTCCCTCGTCTTCCCCTTTACCCGGGCATGCGAGTTGCGTTGAGAGGCCAGTAATTAAGGGTAAAGGTCCGAAGCCCAGATCCAGCCCTTATCAGCTTTCTGACCTTGGGCAAGTTCTTTGAACCTGAACATCTTGTCTATAAAACCGGGATAATAACAACTCTACTTAATGGGGATGTTAAGATTCAATGAGTTACTATAGAGAAAGCACTCAGGGGCTTCCCTGGTGGTGCAGTGGTTAAGAATCCACCTGCCAGTGCAGGGGACACAGGTTCGAGCCCAGGTCCAGAAAGATCCCACATGCCGCGGAGCAACTAAGCCCGTGTGCCACAACTACTGAGCCTGCGCTCTAGAGCCCGCGAGCCACAGCTACTGAAGCCCACCTGTCTAGAGCCCATGCTCCGCAACAAGAGAAGCCACTGCAATGAGGAGCCCGCGCACCGCAACAAAGAGTAGCCCCCTCTCACCGCAACTAGAGAAAGCCTGCGCGCAGCAACGGAGACCCAACGCAGCCCCAAATATAAATACATAAAATAAATAAATTTTTAAAAAAAGAAAGCACTTAGAACAACGCCTGGCACGTACTAAGTGCCAAATAACTGTTAGCTATTCTTATTATGCCCTTGGACATGGGAGGATATCCCAGATGGGCTTCTGAGGGCAGAGGCCCCTGGCACTGCCTAGAGTGGTTAAAAAGCCTTTGTTATGACGCTGACAAAGATCCTCTCCTACACCAAACTCTACTCCCTGAACTCTTTTTCAACCAGGCCTCCACTTTTTGGACTTCTGCATTTTCCAATTTTAGCAAGAACTGCCCCCACCATCCTCCATATCTGATACCCTCCCCCCCAGGTGTGATCAGTTCCTCATCCCCCACCGACCCCCAGGTGGTCTGATACTGCCCAGGCCTACCTCCAGCGAGAATCCTGCTAGGTTTCCTTGGCTAGAAACCCCCAACCCCGTGATGTTTCCTCTTAGTAATTTCCCACCCACTGACCTAACACTGCTCCTTGGCTGTAAATTCCCACTGGCCCCTGCGGTTTTAAGTGAAAAATGTCACCTGCCATAACAGTAAACAAAGGATGTTGCAACCTACAAGCCATCCCGTCACAGCCCGTGGACGTTGCACCCTGAGGGGACTCCTCAGGGTGGAAAGCAAAGGATACTGGCCCCAGAGAGCTGAGGTGCACATCAAAGGAATGACCTCTGTGAGCCCAGACTCTGGCATCTTCCCATACACAGAAAAGCACTAAATTCCTTAACTCGAGGTGTCTGGTTTTCTTTAATGAACAGTATCTTCTGACGTTCCGACTACCCGGTGTTTGTTGTAAAAGCCCCTACGTATCCTGGATCCTCCCTTACCTCTTCAGAACAGTCCCTGAGTTATCTGAGATGCGTGTCCCGGGCTTAAGTCCTCAGTCTTGTCCACCGAATAAAACGTAACTCTCAACTTTTAGGTGGTGCACTGTTTTTTCAGTCCACACGGTATTTGGGGATGACTGAGGTCTCTTGTGCCCTATGTCAACGGTCCTGAGTGGAATGTTTTCAGCGCTTTAACTGCCCTCCGGCCCTGCTTTTCTCTCTCAGCTCCCTGTGCTTCTGTGAGGGTCCTGGAGCCCACGGCCAAGGGGCCCGAGACCCCATTCCTGAGGTTCCCCAACCAAAGAGCTGCAGGGTCCCCGGCAGGAAGGCCCGAGGACCCCCTCCTGGAGAAGCCCCAGGTCCCTCGACTGAGGGCCTGGAACTGAGGGGCCGAGGCCTGCAGGTTGCGGTGAGGGGCGGGAGGGTGCAGCTCCTTCCCGCTGACACGGCGCCGAGCCCGTCCATGCCCGGCAGCACTGAAGCCCGCTGCCCAGGACGCGGAAGCCGCTGATAGGAACGGAAGCCGCCGATGGGACCGGAAGCCGCCGGCGGGACCGGAAGCCCTGGAGGCTGAACTTCCGGGGGGCGGCGGAGCGAGCGCGCAGGCCTGCGGCTCGAAGGGCGGGGTTTGTCGGGGGGCGGGCCCGCATTGCCTTCGTGCGTCACTTCCGGGCGCGGCGCGGTGAGCGCGGCAGCGTGGCGGGCGGCGGGGCTGTTGGGGATCTGGCAGGGCCGGACGGGGGCGGAGGGGGTTGACGTCCCCACGGGCCCCGGGCGGCTCCAGCCGCCCTCTGCCCTCCGCCTTGGTGGGGGTGCGGCTTCTCCCGTGGGACCGATGGTTTCCCGAAACGCAGAAAACGAAACCTCAGTGTGTGGACTAGAGGGGCGACGCGGGCGCCGCCACCCGCTCCGCCGGGTTTCTTCACCTGCGGCGCTTACTTCCCCCCCACCCCACCCCCGCGCGATGGCACGACTGAGGCCCCCAAGACTCAAATGAGAGCCATTGGGATGCGGTGGGGGTCACAGTGATACAGGACGGCGGGGGCCGACGCGTGGGGAAGGGGAGTTCTCACCTGCCTCCAGAGGCGAAAGTGTATTTTGACATCCCGTCTGTCTGTATATACTTATGTGTCTAGTTAAGGGATCCAGAAAGTTCCGGGCGAATGAAGCCTGTATGGATGAACAGGCACAGGCTTTTGAATGGGCCTACTTGTGTTTCTGTTTTAATGCCCAGTAATGCTTATTCTTGGAGCCTCAAGGCTACCTGCCATTGATCGATTGACTCTTTTTTTTTGTTTCTATCTTTTTATCGTAAACTGAAGGTGCCATCGAGCAGTCCCAGGTATGGAAGGTAAGCCATTGGTGATATCGAAAGAGAAGACTGCAGTGGTGTGTGGGGTCCCCACCCAGGTGGTCTGTACAGCCTTCAGCACTCACATCCTGGTGTTGGTGACCCAGTTCGGGAAGATGGGTACCCTGGTCTCCCTGGAACCCAGCAATGTGACCAGTGACGTCGGCAAGCCCGTGCTGACCACTAAAGTCCTTCTCGGGCAGGACGAGGTAAAGTTGGGAAGGGCTCCCCGTGCCTGTAATTTGTCTGTACGGATGTGGAGCATCTGGTAGGCAAGACCCGCCTTCAGCCCAAGACAGCATTTTCCGCAGCCTCCGTGCACTTGAGGGCATCCGCCTGCCCTTGATGGCTGCTGCTCCCGGACGAGTTGATTCTGTAATGTAGGCCTCCCCTCATTTTGACCCTGTCATAGCACGTTATGGTGCTGAGTGATCTTTCCCTCTTAGGAAAGATCACCTGTGACATTTGACAGGGTTTCCCTCTGCAGACCCACATGGGTCCTTCCAGAGTAAAAATAGCTGGAAGAGACAGGAGCGAGAAAGCCCTGAGGAGACAAATCTAATGATGCTCCTTAGCAGTGTGTTTATGACTGGAGTGTCTGGAGAGTCTCGTTGAATCTGAATCGCTGTCGCGCTGGACTTACCGGGTGGTGCTTTAATGGTGGTGTGGGAAGCCTTTCTGGGTCCCTCAGGGGTACTCAGTGAAGGCATTAAGAAGAAAACAGGTTTCTTGCAGTTAAAGTGGTCTCTCCTTGCCTTCGCCAGCCTCTCATCCATGTCTTCGCAAAGAATCTGGTGGCGTTTGTGTCTCAGGAAGCTGGAAACAGAGCAGTCCTTCTCGCCCTAGCCGTGAGGGACAAGAGCATGGAGGGGGTGATGGCCTTGAAAGAGGAGATCCGGACATGCCGGGTGTGGTGACCGCGGAGTAACCACCCCTGCTGTCCAGCATGGCCACGTGGCAACTCAGACGCCCTCTCAAGGATTTGAAGACCCTCCCTCAGTCAGAAGGAGTGCCTTTATCTGGTTTTGGTCCTTGAAGCTGGAAGAAACATGCACGTCTCGGGCCGACTTTGGTTTGGGGGCTGACGTCACCTGTGGAGGGAGGACGTGGAATGTGTCCTGGGGTGTTGTGAGCGGTCCTCCCTGGGTCCACACAGTTGCACATGTTTGAGAATTGACGGAACGAGTCATGGCCCTCAGTGTGCAGACGAATTGTTGGGGGAAATTTTTTTTTTATTAAAAATAAATGCGTATCCCAAAACACTGTCCTTCTTAACAGTGCTGCCAAACTTCAGGCACACAGTGTATGTTCACTGTAGTGAACCATAGCAGGGAAGAAAACCTGTTTGGTGAACACTCGGCCTGAGGTTCACACGGTGGGACGGCTCCCAGGAGCCGGCTTTGCTGGCACCTCATCCTGCCCCTCTTCCCGTGACCTCTCTGAGCCTTCCGTTCCACAGACACTGCTCGAGTCTCACTGTGTGCTGGTACCCTAGCCTCTGGAGCCACGTCCTTGAAGCCTGGGGGCAGATGTGCGTCACCCCACGGGCACAGGGTCAGCTGGGGAGGGCCCGCGTGGGGCAGACCAGGCAGCGCCCCGCTGCCCAGGGAAGGCTCTGTAGCAAGGGGATCCTGACGCGGGAGGAGGGTGTTTCTAGCAAAGGCCAGGAGGCAGGAGAAGCACGGATTGTAGGGTGTTGGGGGCCAGCTGAACGTGAAGCCCGAGGGCTGGGGACAGGTGGCCAGGGCCTTCTGTGTTTGCTGAGCCCTTGGGACTTGATCCTGAGCTGCGAGGAGCTACTGAAGGCTTTCAAGTCAGGCTGGGTTTGCCCTTTGGAGATATCCCAAGGGTTGGTGGAAGCGCGAGGCGAGGCTTGGCTTCAGGAAGGCGTGTCTGCCACAGAAGACGGCCTGTAGGTGCCCAGGCCTGGGACCCACCTGGGCTCCCTCATCCCTCCAGATGTGGTGACCTGAGTCACTGGTCGTACTAGAGACCAGACCAGTAAATCTTTGTGCCGTATGACTCTTAGTCTCGTGAGGAAATAGGGGCAGCAGGAGAGTTGAGGTGAGAGCCGGGGTCTGGAAGCAGAGACCAGCTGGGATCCTGAAACGGAGTGGGCAGCCAGGATACCCTTCCGGGGGACACCGGGGGTGGATCCGAGTGTTTATGAGATCAGAAGGGGATGTTTTAATTTGGTTTTCTTGGAACCAAAAGCCTCTGGAATCCTGAGTCTGATTTTAGAAACTCCTGCTGAGGACAGGTGATGGGAGAGGCTGCACTGCTAGTCCCAACTTGAAAAGAACTTAGTTTGTTGAAGGCGGGACGGAGGAAAGCTGTCTTCAAGGGCTCATTCCTTCAGCAGCCTCCCAAGGGGAGACCATCAGCCTGCAGAGCTCACGTCCCCTCTGGGGACAGTCGGGTAAACCCACAGGTGCACACCAGGCTCACGGGGTGACCAGGCGACCTCAGCATCAGAAGGGCCAGGGAGTCACACGTGGGGATCCGCCAGACTTCCCAGAGCGGGTGCTGATGCCCGAGCAGGCTCGGCACCTTGCAGCCTCCTGTGCGGGGAGCCTGAGGGGCCCAGGGCCCGACCCCCGACCGAGGGGAACAGGCAGACCCACCCCGGGAGACACAGGGCTCCTTGGTGGCCAAATCCGGCTCAGGGACTGCGGTGTGACATCTCCACAGCCTTGCACCTCCCTCCCTGCTTGCTGTCAGTCCAGTCTTTCTCCTGAGAAGATCCCACCTGGCGTCTGCACTGGGAGGGCCTGGACGGACACTAGTTTTAAAAGCCAGAAAGCAGCTGACCAACTGGAGAAGGGAAGGCCCTGTCCATCCACGTGTGAGGACCCCAAAGGTGACACAGTTCATAGCAGGTGTGGGGACACAGGCACTGTGGGGTAAAGGAGATGTGCGGGACGCCAGCAGGTCCGGGGGGCGGGCAGCCCCTGGAGGACCGGCGCCTGGGCCGGGGGCAAGGGCAGGGCACCGTCCGATGGCACTGGAGCACAAGCGGGCAGGATCCCCCTCGCTCAGAATCAGCCTGTAATTATGCACACCCCTCATCTAACAATCAGATGTGTTTGTCCGTGGAAACACGCTTCTCTCGCTTGACCAGCGGGGAACCTGAACCGTGGGTCGGGCTCCAACTTGGGGCTAAGTTCAGATTTGCAGCTCTAGTTTTCTGATTTGGCCCCTAAGTGCACAACGGCAGGACTGGCCCACGCTGCCTATTGGTGAGGTCTGGGGTCAGCCCTTCGTGCAGTCATGGTAACGCGTTTAATCCTCACGACGACCCCGTGAGGCCGCTGCTCTCATCTACGTGTCAGATGAGGAAACTGAGGCGTGGCTGCCACCGAGCAGCAGGTCTGGGATTTCACGTGGGCAGAGAGCCTGGAGTCCACGCTGGTCACCCGTCACCTGGGCCCTCGCTGACACTCATTTTTGGACCCCTTTCTCTCTAAGGAGTGGGCCAACCGCCTTGTCCACACTGAAGGCAGGGTTGCCTCGGTGCTTCTGCCCGGCTCTGATTCAGCCTCCGTGCGGGGGCCTCCTGCGAGCCAGGCCCTGGCAGTGCACACACCATCTGAGTCCTTATGACTTCCCTTAAGAGGCAGGTAGGTAGTGGAGAAAGTTGACGCTCAGCAGGATAGGGCGGGTCGCTCAGACCCCCAGGTGATCAGTGGTGGCCCCAGGATGTAAACACACCTGAGCCCCTGTCATTTGCACAGTCCCACGGTTGCCCACATGGAACATGGTGGGGCAACTGACGTATAATTGAAACCAGGGTCCCCAGTGCCTTCCCGAGTGGCACTTATTCACAGCTGCCCGAGGCTGTCTGGTAGCTATTAAAGAATGCAGGCTGAGACCAAAGGCTTCCGTCATTGAAGCCAGTGCCACACTGCTCTGCTCTGCCTTATAAATCAAGACATGCGACTCATATGAAAAGGCATTTGGCCCTTTGCTTTCCGCGTTGCTCTGCTCCCAGCTGCTATAATTCAGGAGGAGAGATACATTCTCCAATAAAGAGGTCTATAAAGCCACAGTTTCCACAGGCAGAGCTGTCGGCTTTGTGGAAATTGTTATTCCTTTAGATGGAAAGGCTGCATATGGTGCTTACCCAGCGATCAAACTGTAATTACAACTTCCAGCAATTTATGGCCAAATGTAAATAAGGAACGTGGGGCTGATTTGCCAGCCCCTGCGGCATGGACTGGTGGATGAGTTTCCCTTTTTCAAGGCCAGGACCAATGC